TTGATTTTTGGTTTCGGACTGTTTCATGTTTAAAAGCTTTTTTTCTTTCCATTTAAAATTTAGAGCAATTTAAAAATGGACAGATTAAAAGCTTGTTTTGAAAGTTTTTGAAAGTGTTTTGGCAGTTCTAAAATGAATCACTCCATTTTGAAAGTACTAAAATGAAGTGCTTTGACATTTTAGATTTTTTTCTGCATTGTTTCATCTGGGACTATTTGCTAAATTCCATTCAAATTCATGAAGAGTCTCACTAACCCTGAAATTCATTTGTGTGGTGTATTTATTATTTGTCAGACAGCAGTGGTTCATTAAACTCTGCATCAGTTCAACCTTAAATAATGGGAGAGAATTCTTAATAAGGCCTTGTTCATATACAGCTACCATTCTCACTGCCCTTATAATTGCTGCCCTGAGGGGCACTCAGCTGTGCAGAGCCATGTTCGCCCCTCTGGGAGAAGAGGTGCCAAGACAGACCCCAGGCCCCTGAGCTGGTGTTGCTTCCTCCTCTCCACCCAGGAGAGTACTCCTCCTGGAGTGCCCATATCAGCCTTACAGCTCGCACCAGTGTTTCTGTAGCCTCTTGCTAAGCTCTGCCTTCCTCCCATCAAAGGAAGGCTCTTTGCTGCTCATGTCACTGTATGTGGTCACTGCACTTCTTATGCTTAATTACCTTCCCTCTCACCTTTTTCCCATTAGTGAGGATTGGCCTGTTTTTACTCCAACTGGTTTAAATGTTTCTAAAAGCCATTCACCTGCAGTAGCAGTCAACAGCTGGCATGCCAACATTTTTGTCTTTTCTGGCTGCTCAGCTTCAGCAGGGCTATTCACAGCTTGCACTTTGCTAAGGTCGTTGGTATCACCCTTACACATTTCCTGTATTACATGAGGATCAGGTTCCAGTAGTTAACAAGTCAAAAAATATTCCTGGGGGAGGAGAGGAACTAGGTAGATAAGTGTGTTCCACATGTGCACTTTATTTTTGGAATTGCTGCCTTCATCAAAGTGAGAAATAATTGTGATCAAACATGGGTCTGAAGCGTGGTACTCCAGATCACACAGAAATGCCTTTGTACTCTGAATGTTCCAGTCCAGCAAGGCCAGAGTATGATGGGACGTCAACTGCTGGCCACTGCTCAGTGCTGGATCTATAAAAATAGTCTCTGGGTCAAACTGTGCACTACTGTAATTGGGAATAGCTCCAGTAAAATCAGTATCTCCACATTTATTCTCTTGAAATTTAAAGCCAGGTTTGGCCCACTATGTGGACAGAGTCCAACTGGAAACTAGGGCCAGCCTGACTTATGGGAGAGGAGATGAGAACTGACTCTCCTGCAGTTAGTTAGCCTCAATCCTCACGTGTCTCCCAGATATAACTGTTCTGACCTCAGTGGAATTGATCCTAATTTATGCCACTGTAACTGAGATTGCAGTGTGCATTGTTTGAATTCTGTTGGGTGCGCCTTCTTCCAGATGGAAACTATTTGCAAACTATAACAGCCTCTTTCCTAAACTTGAGGCTTGCCATATCTGAAATTTTTGGTGGGGCAGGGGAGTGGAGAAAAGGATATAATGCCAACTTTGTGCTCAGTGCTACCTAGTGGCATTAAATTCTGCAGTGTTCTATTAAATTATCAGTGCCTAATTAGGGGATTAGAACACTCTTATCCTCTCATCCTCATTACAGAATGTATAATGTTCCAAGATCACCCAAAAGTTGGGAGGTGGTAGCTTTAGGAAATTCAGAATAGCAGTGTGGCGATTCTGTGCAGGCCTTTTTTCTTATATGGGTGTTCCTGCTAATTGATTTTTCTTGCATCTGCAGCTTCTGTTTTTTCCAGCTTTACATATTACATTGCTGAAGCGTTTGATGAATGGGATGCTGTGCAGCTGAAAGATCACACGTCTCAAATGGCTCACTTGGCGTTCTTAGACTGAACTGACTGGCAGAGTTGCAGTTCTCTGACAAGGAGAATGGCTGCTTTTCTCTCAGAAGAGCACTGTAACTCTTAAATGCAATATAAAGGCAAGATATTATACACACATATGAGTGTGGCTGTCTGTATACACATGTATATGTGTGTGGATATATGTGTTTTTGAAGTGAAAAGCCACTCTGTCTTCCTGTAATTGCACTGGAAATGTTCAGTTTGTCAGTGTGACTTTTTTCCCTGTTAGCAATGAAATTTGGCCAGGAGTCCTAGCATGCCATGAGAAATCAAGCCGTGACCACATTAAGCATGAATGGCAGGGCAAGGTTAAAGCCTGTAACACTATGCTGGGGTGACCTGTTGCAGAGTTAGAGGCTGAGGTGTGCGGCTGGGTCACATAATTATTTGCAAGTGAAGCACAAAATGAAGCTCAAAGCTGCTTTGACTATTTACTCTTTCAAGAGGCATTTAGTGAGTATTTTTTATTTTGAAAGCATATTTAGAGAACTTCAGCTGCAGGGCTTGTAGCCAACCTTCAGAAATCAAACCAGAATATTTCTTAATTTTACCTACAAGTACACTCATGGCATATTCCTGCTTTACTTTTCAATGATTTGAAAAGCTTTTCTATAAACTCCTGTACAAAGAGACTGCTGAGAAACATCTGGTGAAGATGGAGATGTTCAGCTGCAGTGAAACAAAGCATGGGATCACCCAACCTGTAACAGGAGAAGGTTGGTGGACCTTTCCCATAATCAGTTCTGGAGTTGTTCTACTGAGCAGAAAGTTAGACATTCTCTTAAAGAAGAAAAAAGGGAGGTGCCAGGGAATTGTTTGCACTATCTATAAAATTTCTGTCCTAATCTGTCCCCTGAAATACTGAATTGAATGCAGATGGAAAAAAAAAAAAAAAACCAAAAAAAAAACCAAAAAAAAAAAAAAAAAAAAAAAACCAAAACAAAGACATTTTTGATTTTGAAGCCTTCTTATTAATTTGTCTTTACCTTTTTTAAAAATTTTTTATTTAGTTTGCTTACTAGACCCTTTAGCCCAAGAGGTACATTTGAATGCAACTTTAAAGGGAATTTGGCTCAGTGCTGTAAGGCAGGTTAGGGAAGAGCCTGGTCTTAAAATAGACACAAAGCACAATGCATGAATTGGCTGCCGGGATCCCACTGAAGCACAACCTGAACTTTGCCTTGTGGAGTAGCAAACTTGAAGAGCACAATGAAATCTTTCACCAGAACCAGGGCTGCAAAGGATCTGCTGTGTCCCACCCTTCACAGCAGCAAACAGGCTCTGGTGAAGGTCACCCACCTACACCAGCTTTTCCTCTGTCTAAGACTGCACACCTTTGTGTGGAGTCACTTATGTGTTATATTTCTGTGAGGAGAAGACAATCTGGATTTTTCATGCCTCAGTTAAAACTATTCAAACTTCACTGGATATCACTAAAGCTGATAGAAAAATAACATTTTGTATTTGTAAGTTGTGGCTCACACTTCAGGGTAAAGTTTGACTAGGTGTTTGGAAGGTTTGTACTACAGCCTTGTTTAATAATATAATCCAGAGTTGGATGCTGGGACATAGGTAAGAGATTGATGGCAGCAGCCACTGCCCAGGGAAGTGCCACAGATCACCAGATTCCTTCGGGAGCTGTGGATTGTCCCAACAGGAAAACCGTCTCCTCCTCTAGTGCAGAGCATTACAGGATGCCAGTTCTTGCAAGAATTTCTGGATTAGCAGCACAGTGAAGCACTTTCTTAATCTAGAAAATTTATGCTGAGGACGTAAAGGGTCATTTAAGGACTGCCCCAGCATAGGCCCAGCCACATCTACTTCATTTCTGATTGATGTTAGTCCAGTCTGTTAAAACCCTGGTGACAGAGCACCTCCACAGCTTCGCAAAGAGCAAGGGGCTGGTTCTTAGCATTACAAAGCTTTTCCTAATAATGTCCAGTACAATTCTTTCTTGCTGCCAATTATTCACTTCTTTTCTGCCAAGCTAATTCCTTCATTTTATACCAACCTTTTCTGTGTATGCAGATTGTTATACGAGGTAATTCTTCTTCACACTAATTATCTCTAATTATTCAATCTTACCTTTTAAGCTGTGTTTTCTAGATTTTTGATTCTTCTCAGAGCTCCATCTAACAGCAATCTGTCCTGTCATTTAACAACTTTCTGGAATCCATGTGTTCAACCTGGACCCTGGTACTTTAGATGAAGCCTTACCTTGGTTATGGGCTACTGGTGGCTCTCTCAGTCCCTCTTGCAGGGCTGCTTTCACCAGACATGCCAATGACTGCTTTCAACATTGAATTGTAAGTAGCTGAAGCTACTTATAATTAAATGAATTACTTGATATAATTAAATTAATTACTTGAGGCTGAACTGGTGCTAAGAGAAGCCAGACACTCATCTGGCATAAAATTGATTCTGTGTCTCAATGTCTCTAAATAATACTGACTTACACTATGTGAGCACAGTGAACAGGTTTACAAATGCCCTGGCATGACAGCACCTGTGGCTCCTGAGCTGTTTCACTACAGGTGCTGCTTCTGCCAGCTGCATCTGTGTCTCAATCTGAAGCTGTTTCACTATTGTGATGGACATAAACCCCCAGTGCATGAATGATGCATGTTTGCATAATTAATACCAATTGTTTAACCAGAAGCATTTGCTGCATGAAGTGTTAAAATCATATTGCATCCAAATACTGCTGTGTTTTTCTGGTTTGTGGATACTAGTGTTTGAAACTTTAATCAAAATGTTATAATTAATGATGTAAATTCTATTAAAATGTACAAGCAGAGTATTATATTCAAAATGCCATCAGCTCTGATCAACACCAAAATTGAGAAACATATTTGACTGATTTAAAGCATCACAAAATGATCATAATGTTATTGCAATTAACAATGTAATTAAGATTTACAGGTTGCATAATTCATTTCACATGTATAACAATTGAAGTTTAATTAATAAAACTTGTGCGCTAATTACCAGTATTTTCAGAATAAAAAATTGTTTAAACAATGAAATTTGGATAATATATTTTTCCTTTCTTACCGTTCTTTGCTGGATTATTATTCTGCTTCCATATTTTCAGATTTCCAGATCTTCTTTTTGGTTGTATTTTACTGGGGGAAAAGAATGAAGTTTTTAAAAATTGCAGACCTTTAGCTGATAAACCATTGTATTCCATTTAAAACTGTTCTTCTTTTACCCACAGTGGCCATTGTATTTGCTGCTGTATGTTCTTATCTACACCTTGGTCATATATTAATTTAAGTCATTGTATAATAGAAAGAGCATGTTATATGCATGGATTTGTAAGATTGAACAGATTTGGAGACTGCTGTGGTCTCATTTATGACAGTGTACCTCAGCTGGAGCCTTTTAAAATGGAATGGATCAAGCAATAATTCTTACTAGAGTATATTTTACTGTAATCAGGCAACACCCTTTTCTGTTACTATTACTGAACATGTAGCGATAGCATGAAGCTGTGGAGCTCCATTGTTTTAATGATTTTCCAGTCTGATTTAAGAGTAGTGGTAGATCCCCTACCTTGATGTTATGATGAAAGAAGAAAGATTTGATAGATACTTACTCACAAGGGAGATTAACGGGCTTAAAAATTGGTCCCTGTCTGATAGGTGATAGGGTAGATCCTTCTGTGTAATCAAAACAGATAAGAGATGGCAGTGATTATTGTAACTGCTGCATGGTCTCTCATACTGCTGTACCCAAAGTCCTTCAGTAGACTCACTCTTCTGAGCACTGTTACTGCTTTGCCCTGGCTTTGTTACTAATACTCAATGCAAGAAAACAACACTGCAGGTGTCTTTCAACGTTGACATTTACTCATTGTCGTGGAACTTCTGCAGGTCACACCTCACTGTGTGAGTGGTCTGAGGAACTGCTGGAAAAATAGATCTTTTTGTTGTTGTTGTTGAAGGAGTCAATGCATAAAAGGACACAGCTTACAGGATTGGGCTGTCAGACAGCAGCTCATGACTTGCATTATGTTATATTGACAATGTCTTGGCAAATAAGACACTGACAAATTGTTTTGCAATGAAAGCATAAACTATACAGAATATTGTGCAAGGCAGAAAATATAAGGAGACACCCTCCAGTCTCCAAGGACTTGCATTTTTTTATTGCTTACCATATTTTTTCTAATATCTTTGCTGATGCAGTGTCTTATTTGGGAAGCAGGATTTTTTTCCCCTTCTGCCTCATGCAAAGCACCCATCAAGACTCTGAGCCCAACACCACTTGTGTTTGTCAGGGGATGCAAAGGGAGCCCAGACTGCTGTGTAACAGAGGCCAGGAACTTTTGTAGGGGCGAACATCAGAGACTGAAAGATTCTAGATGTTCAAAGAGACAATGTCAAGGAAGATTCAGGATAGACTTTAGGTCTACAGAATTGCAAGTAGATACATTTTATCAGGATGTTATGGAAAATCCATCCTGGTCTTAACAAAAACTTAAAATTAAGGATAATAAAATAAAATCTCCTACAAAAACCCACCATCATTAAGTTAAAAGCAAAGGCAACATGCAAATTTGATTCACTGCTGAGAATCCAGAGGGTCTCTTGCAGGCCCTTCCACTACTGGTGCTGAATTTCTCACTTTTGGGTGGGCTCAGCATGATTCTGATTTATGTTTGCTTCCCTTTGGTAGGAGTGGGGATCTAACTACTTTACAGTCCTGATACTCAACAATGTTCTGTCAATCTTGTATTTATGAAAATTTCAGACAAAGTGATGTTTTAAAAATATACTTAGAGATAGATTAAAAACACTAATTATTAGAATGGCTGAGTTTCAGAGTTCAGCCACTCTGGAAAGATGTTTTTAAAGAGATTAGGTATGTGGTACCAGTTTACTGTGCAGAGAAAGATGAATTTTTTTGATTTCTGTCTTTCAAAAACAAGCAGAAAATGGGGAAAATGTGTTTTCTTTAGCTTGTTAAAATCTGTAATTAAATAAGCTTTCCACTAAGATAACATATGAAAAACAGCGATTCCAGTGAAAAAATAAATCTAGAAAGGCCTGAATTAGTGAAAAGGGAGATAAAGATGAAAGTTGCCTATAAATAAATGTTAAAATAGAAATCACAGTAACATAACACTATCCTTTCTGTCATATTTTCATGCTCTAATGAAGCCCTATTACATATTTCTGTGGCCCCCCTCTTTGATGAGCTCTTCAGTATTTCCTGCTGCAATAAGCAGTCATCTGAAATACCTGTGGGACTGGTCTCTCCCAAGACACCCAGTGTGGATTGTTCCCTAACTACTGATTTCTACCATTTCAATGGCACAAAGGATTCTGTGTTTTGACAGGGAAATCCTTATAACTCTAAAAATGAATTAAGTATTCAGCCAATCATAAAATGACATCATGAAAGCAGCTCTTTCGCTGATGCGGTGACTATAGAGTTGCTTGACATTATTCTGCTAACACAGTTTGACTGGATATATGTTTTGACATCCAGACAACAGGGACACTGATGGAAACTGATAGACCCAATGTCAAAAGAAGAAAAGCTGCAGGAGGACACCCAGAAAATTAATAGGTGGATTGCAAAAAACCCCTTTCCCAAAGGGCAAAGTCAATAAAGTGAGGACTGAATAAAACCCCCCAAAAACTGAAAGAAAAGGCACAGACAAACCAATTCTTATAAAAATAGTAAAAACATGCTGAGGGGAGTTTTGGAGCTTAGTAGATGCAAGCTGAGGAACAGTTAATTTGAACCTGAATTGTTGACATTCAATATTCATATTTTGGTTCTGCCACAGCCTTCAAAAATAACTATGTTGATACTTAGAGAACTTCCTTATTAAGCATCCTTTATCTTGTTCACACTTTTTGTCTTTTCCTTAATTTCCACCATAAGTATGTTCCAGAATACTGTGAACAAAATGCCATCCACAGGAGGATTAGCATTTTTAGACATTTTTGGAGGGACATTTCAGTTTAGAAGCCAAGACCTTTTCTTCCATCAAGAGCCAGTTCTGCTTGCACATTTATAAAGTGTATTTATATATAATATTCAAAATCTCCAATATAAAAAAAAAATCCAGTTTTGGAGTCAGCCAGAAACATACTCCTTCACATATTTTGCCCATTCTGAACTGAGCACTTGTATCTATCATAGATTACTCACTTTTCCCTGTCATTGAGTGACATATGTCATAGTTAAAGGACTTGTGACAGAGCTCCAGGGACAACTGTATTAAATAATGCAGTGCCAAAATTCCAGTATTTGCACAGTCAACAAACTTCTCCAAGTAATGGAGTATTTTGATCTGAGAATCATTTCTTAGTAATAGAATTGTTTCTTGTTCTTTAGTATTTTGGATGACTTGGTTTGATTGAACCTTCTTTGTAGGGTTGTTTTGGCTTGGTTTTTTGCACAGAACAACAGGAATGGCCATTCTGGAGCAAGACAAAGGTCCGTTTTACAAATGTGTGTCCTGTATCAAACAGTGGCCATCACTGGGGGCCTACAGGAGAATTTAAGACAACAGTAAATATACACCAAGAAATGATTCTCAGATCAAAATACTGAAAATCAATAAAAAGGAAAAAATAAGTTTTGTGAAAGTAACCTTGCTTCATTTTCTGTAGTTTTTGGCTAGAACATTTCCATTGATAGAGTTGCTAAGTGCATTCTATTTACAAATATAAACACTTGATTTTGATCAGCAAAAATGCATCAGCACACTTGAACAGTGTCAATGATGACATAATTACACTCACAATTTCCTCTCTGTAATGATTTTTAAATGTCAGCAGTCATTTTTTGTCTAATTGTAGCCTGCATGTCAGCACTTCCTCTTAAAACAGCATGTTCCTCTCTGCTGGAATTTCACACCTCTCCACTCACTCACTCACTTCACCAGTGAAGATAATGAAGATGATAAAGGGCTCCAGGGTATTTTCACTCCTGTGCTGCTTTACCATTTAATAGCAAGCAGGCAGAATGAGCAACTTTTTTTTTTTTTTTTTTTTTTTTTTTTTAGTAGAGAGTTTGATCAGTTAAACTATAAATAATTATTTGATTTTAATGAACATAACAAAAAGTAGTTGTCATTTTTCAGACGTCCTGCTGGTGCTTTGCTAATAACCTCTTAAAAAGCTGGGGCTTGTGATAAAATCATTTTCACACATGGAGACCTGAACTTACTCACTGGAGGAGAAGGCTGACCCTGCAGTGCCAGCCCTTGATCACTTCAGTGTTTAACACAGTGCAGAGCAGGTGAGCTTGCTTTTCAAAGTCAGCCTGGTTAGAGATGTCATCACTACGTCTCTTGCTATGACCTAGAAAGTGACACTTCAAGTGCTATTTTGCACAGCTCCAGGCCCCAGAGCCTGCAGCATAACAGATAGGTGCTCCTCAGAGCTCTCTTCCTCCTCCTGCAGACCACAGACCCCATCACCAAGTGCATGGAAGTGGATCTCTTGTGCAGTGAACGGGAAGCTCTGCACTGGGGTTAGCAGCAAACATTTTCCACTCATCTGAACATACCCTGGAATTGGAAACAGGGTTGAAGGAGGCCTCCTTCAATCCAATTTGCTTATAACTCATCTTCAGCTCTCTTCGATGCTTAACTGTAAGGTTTAGGAGATTAAGCTTAAAATTTACTGGCCCATTTAGTATCAGAACAGGTGAAAAGCCAGAAAGAATTCACACTGTGAAATCAAATAATGGAATAAGGTTGAGATGTCTGATAAAAAAAAGAATATGATTGAGTATCTCTAATTACAAATACACACATATAATGACATATCAACTAGTTATTTGTCCAAATAGGTCCCTGAAAGCTAGAAGAATGAAAAATAAATAAATTGAATAAACACAGGTGAGAGGGTGGGAGTGTGTTTTCTACAACCCACGATAACATTCATTATGTCCCTCTGTGACATTGCCATCACATGTGGCTCCTGCATACCCAAATGTCTGTGTACACACAGGTGTGTGGGGACCATGCACAGATTTGTACAACACAAGTGCAGACTTGGGTCTCTTTGTGGTTTATGCTGTATTTTGTGCCCTACACACTGAACTTTCTTTTTTGGCTAAATTGGTGCCTCAGAAATCTTCTGGAGCTCTTGGAAAGGGCAGAGCTTTTTAACAACTGCATCCTATGCACTTGTGAGATGTGTGAATGCATAGAGACAATCAGAAAAGAGATGATTCTGGACCCCACTGCAGAGGGATGTCCCCAAGGAAACAAAGCAAACCAAAGACACCAAAAGCCAAGCAATCAAGAGCAAAACAAACCAGTCTTTGAGTACTCCTAGGACTCTGTGAGTGCTCAAAACAGAAGAAAACCTGCCATGTGGAACATGGTGTGTGCAGCTAGCTTGCCTGTGCCTGCTCTTGAGAGTACAGGAGTCAAAATCTAAAAATACTAAAAGCTGAAAGACTATGTATGAGATTAATCTAGAACAGAGGCACTACTCTAGAACTTTCTTTCTCCCCTACCTACCTCTTTCTTTCCCAATTTTATACCAAAGAGAAAAGTAGACAATATTTAAATTAGTTTTAAATTGGACTTAATATCTTGTAGGCAAGTCAGCTATAGTGGAGTGTTACCACAAAGCTCCCTATGAGCAGGCTGCACTTCTGTACACTGCACCACAGAAATTATCAATACACCCTTGCCAGGTTGCTCAGCTAAAGGTAAATTGAGAAAAGGAAAAGCAAGGTAAGAGCCATTTCTGGAGTCTTCTGCAGATCCAGGTGGCTTGCTGGAGGCTGTGAAAAGGTTTTTCTTAAAGCTAATAAGGTAAAATGGCTACTTTGAATAACAGGTTCTTCTGTTTCCATAGAAAAGCAAAAATTGACATATACCAGTCAGTTTGCCTCTTTGGGATTACCTGCAGAAGACAATCAAACCCCACACAGAGCTGGGTTAATGCTCAATTACCCTGGCCAGGAGGTGGTTTTTTTTTGTTTGGGTTTTTGTTTGTTTTTGTTTGTGGGGTTGTTTTGTTTTGTTTGTTTGCTTGGTTTTGTTTTGTTTTGGGGGTTTGTTTGTTTTCTTTTTTAGTTTGTTTTGGTTTTTTTTTTTTTTAAGTTTATTGCTGAGTCTCTCTTTCAGCTGGAGTTGCAACTCCAGCTTTTTAATGAACTACCAATGGCAAATAGCATATTACACCCATCCACCCCCAGCATTTGAACATGAGGAAATATGCAAAGGGAATGGGGAAATGCAGTTTTCTGTTTCAATGGACCAAAGGTATTGGAATATTGATGTTACACATGAGAATTGAGCTTATGTTTTACATTACAGTCAAGCATTCCTGTAGCTTCAGACAAATAAATAAAGGCTGCTGAGCGAATGACACACTGTTCAGTTAGTGTCTAACAGTGGTAGGTTCAGCCTGTAGGAGCACAGAAACATTCCCCATACTACCTGAAACAGGTTTATAGCCTTGGAAAAGAACACTGTCATGGATTGTGCAGCTTGGCAGATTATTCATGACTCAGTCACTGCATACAGAGCATTGATTTCTGCTGTGTCTGAGGGTGCTTGATATCTCTTAAAGTCATGCCAAAAGTATTGCAAGTTGGCCTCTCAGAAAACAAGGCACATTAAGTTAGAGACCATGTCTGAAAACTTCAGTTGATTTGCTTCACATGAACTTGAATTGAACCTCAACCTTACAAAACAAGGCATATTAAAACATAAAGACATCTGAATGGTAACCATGACAACACTACTTCCAAAAAACCCATAGGTATAGCCAACATTTATATATATATACTGCAAGCGATAATGCATTCTTTTGTACACTTATTAATACCAGTTCATGCTGTGTGCATGGTTTTCCTCAGCAAAACTGTAAGTTACACAGGAATTTCCAGATATTAATTTACCTTTGATGTTTTTTGCTACTCTGATAAGGCCCATGCAAAGTGAAATTAGTCAAAATGTTCCAAGTTTTAGGCTTGGGTGCAATATGGTCTCAAAATATTGTCTCAATTTTAAAAGTCTGTCTTGTGGCAAAATCTGTGCTGCAACTATGTGTGGCATTTCTCTAAGCCATAATATTAGTTATAACATTTTAATTTCTTTTATTTTTAATTGTGACAAAAAGAGTGACTTTTTTCATTGCTGTATTTTAGGAAGATGAATGCAATTTTTTTTAAATAGATTATTATGTTAAATGAACCTTTATTCCATCTAGATGTCTGCTATTTTTCAGTCTTTGAACTAAAGGACGATTCTTTAATTTGGGCTTTTGTCAGCACCGATGTAAAGTGCTTTATATCTCATTTTTATAATCCATTTCATCCCAAATGGGGTGCATTTTTAATCCCCTTTTCTCTAACTAAATAGAGGAATACCTTTCCATCACTTTGGAGAGGAATATGTTTAGTTTATTTTGAAATACCCTGGCAAGGGACATTTTCCTAAATGAGTATTTTCTAATCTGTAATTAGTATCACAAATACTTTTGCTGCCTGCACATTCTTCCAGTGAAAGGTTGTATAGAGCAGTCATTGCATTCTGCATGTCCTGTGGGACTGTGTGAGGAGCTACACACTCCCCTTTCACACAGTGAACAAAAGCTAAATTCTTGCCTTCTTTTATTTCTTTCTTTTCCTTAGGTCTGAAATGCTAAAACTGTAAGTGCAGTCCTGAGGGCTGAATACTGATGCTCAGACCTTCTTGGGTGGTATCAGGGTAAGGCTTGATGCAGGTCTGTGATTCATCTGCCATCTCTTCTTTTGCAATTACATTGCTTTTCTGACCTGTTATATATTTACTTCATAGCATAGATACAGTGTTTACTACTTCTCTGGGGACATAGTGAATTGCAAACACAATGTCCTTTCCCCCAACAAGACCACAGCATAAATAGTTCAGTTGCTATCAACCAGGAGCACTACACATATGTAATTCTTTATGTATTTTTATATGTGTATATATTTTTATAGATATATAAGATGTAGAACATTGACAATGTCCTAACTAGCCCATTAAGAAGTTGGGCGCGTGTCTTTGGCATCAGCCACTTCTATTACACAGCACACAGAAGCAATAGCAAGGTGCAAAATTCTTGTGCTAGTAATGCATGTCATTCTTAGCTCATCTGTGACAAGCTATGTTAAAGTTTTGCTAACTAGAACTTCAATCATACCTTTTAATCCACTCTGTGCTTTGGAAATGAGACCTGGCTGGCATCTGGGCTGTCCTCAATAGCTGTGCCTGCAGTCTCAGAACAGTGATTTCAGTGAGGTTTATCCATCCTGCAGGGAGAAACCTTAAATATAACCCAGTGTTTAATTTGTCTTGACTTTCCCTGTTGGCTTCTCCCAGGCTAAAGCCAGAGTGTAAGCTGACACATAAGGAGTATGGATAAAATGGGTGCCAGGATTTGACTGTAAACTGCTTCCCAAATTAGCACAATGGTATAGTTACTATTAAAACAAATTGCCCAGTGTTGTAAAGAGACCTCCAAAAGTTGAATTTGTAAAGCTCTGATGGTCTTAAGCACAGGGATCTACTTCTTGTCTTTTCAAAATACAGAGCTTGAAAATGAAAATATTAATTGCCCTTTCCACTTGCCTATTCCAGGGTTCATGTAGTTTACATTTAATTAATTCTCAGATAAAAGGTCTGGTATAACCAGTTATGAGGGACAGTTGCAGTGATGGTGGCATCCACCTCCTGTTGAGATTTTTTTTCTAAACTTTCCTTAGTGTGTGAAACCTTGTTGTCCTCTAGGGACAGCAGGAATATGTAATCCAAAACATCCCATCTCCATCTGGATGTTCCCCTTCTTTCTTCATCCAGCTCTTATTGCATGCATGCTACTGTAAAGGTACCATGAGACAGGGCACAAATGCAGCTCATTAATTGTACTAGGAATGAGGAATGAAAGAGCAGTGACACCCTGGAGGCATTAAGGACAGAAGAATCATGGCATGAGCAATAAAACTCCATCAATCCTCTTGATGCCACCCTCCTCTGACATTTCATTCACCCTGGGCGCTGCTCTCAGGACATGAGTTCCCACCATGGAAGCAGCACATGCCCACTCCTGGCACCATGTCCCCTGCCATCAGCTTCTGTGACCAATGCCCACTAAGGCTGCTGGGCAGGCAGAAGCCCAGCCTGGAATCAGCCATAGCCCTGCTGCATCTTTGGGTGTCACCTGCACTAAACAAAATTGCAAGCAAGGCCCTTCCATAGCTATCCATTGACATCCTTTCTTCTTTACTGCAGTTGGCCCAAGAAAACTTGACATTGAGAGCAAGGTTGGCTGGGACTGATGTTGCTGTGATGCTGTAAAATCTTTAGTGAAATGGGGTTTGTAGCTGCCAATACTCCCCCTCTCTTCCCAGGCAAGACAACACCACCCCACTGCAGAACCTGTGCTGAGTTACCAGCTCAGCTGTGTAGGGCACTGCCATGCAAAGCTCTGTGCTGAGCTGTGCTGCTCACAGTGCCACACCAACCTGTCTGGGACCTACTGTAACTGGGCTTGGGCAAAAATCCTAGCTCTCTGCAGCAAGATTTAAATTCTGGTTTGTAAAGCATATGGAGAAATATTCTGTCTCACAGTCCACTGTGAAAAATTACTGCTTCCCCAAATGATTCAGGTCTTTAGGAGATAATCTACAAACTGACTTATTTCTCCTGTAAACAGGAAAAACACATCCCTTATTGCTGCAGAGGTTCCTAAATGAGGCACAGCTGGATGGCTGCCAGTAAAGCCTTAGTATAGTAGTTGGCTGGGGAACAAGGATGCCCTGGCAACCACATGTTTGTTAGTGAGGATGCTGCATAACTTTTAACAAATGGTTGTGAGCTAAGGCTGGGGGTGGGGGTGTGGTGAGGAGGGAGGTCTGCTTCCCAGAGATTTACACAGGAGCTGCTGCAGAGAAGGTAAGCACTCTCCATGGAAAGCAGTGCTGGAACAATGGAACCGTAGATGTTTAAGGATAGAGCCTTCATTTTGCAGGTGTACTTAACTCTTTTTTTCTATCTGCTTGAAGCTACTAATGTGACAAGGTGCCTCATCACCACAGGACAGATCCAAGGGAAGATTACACAGGCTCATTTTGAAAATAACAAAAATTAAAGCTTAGAGAGAGGAAGGATGAAAGAGCTGGGTTATGAACTGTGATTGGTTTGGGCTGCACTAACATGTGCTTGATCCCTGATTTACTTTTGTAGCTTCAATCTCTTCCTTTGTGTAAGTAAGTGTGCATCAGTACACTACTAGTTAAGGAATAGTTATAATTTTGATGTAGGTACTGATGGTTTTTCTTGCTCTCCTAAAAAGCTAGGTCAGGTCCCTCCTTGTATACTGAGAAAGAAAGGTAAGTTCTTTTCAGAAAATTGCTACACATCATTTGTTGATCTCAGCTTGGGACAAAGGTCTCCAGGCTAAAGGTTTTCATGCTTTCATAAATCTAAACTTCTGAGGAAGACTTAGTGGACAGACTATCTCTTAAAGAAGTCTGCAGAGTACCATAGCAGTTGCAGCTATTAACTCAGGACTTGCAAGCACGTTCATTAATTCTGTCTACTATTGACAGCCCAAAACCTGCAGCAGCTCTTTGGGAGGGCAGCTGAGTTCTGGTGACCTTGCACAAGTGCTCAGCAGGTGGTTCCTCCTCCAAACCTTTGCACAACAGGAATGGTCGCTGCTAAGGAACAGATGTGTTTAACATCACAGAAAGCTCCAGTTCATTGAGCTGGGGAACAAACTCAGGGGCATATCTCATGTATTTCACAAAGATGGTGTAAATCTTATTATTTGATAGTATTAGTGAATATTTACAAAGTATTTTAAATTCCCAGAGAAATCATTATGAAGTTGTTGTAGGCATTATTATTCCCATTACTGTCAGGAACAATATTGTGTTTTATAATCTACACACATGCTAATATTGTTTTGTTTCTTAACAGTACTTATGTGCTTTTTAAAATGTCCTGTATTGCTCTCTGTGTCCTCTGATCCACGGTAACTTCATAATGATATGAAACATTGACATTTGGGGATTGGTTTTTACTGTCTTTTTTCATACAGACTTCCATGGAGGATTTGCTAATGGTATATGTGTGTGTTTAAATTAAACCCTTTAATGCTAGGGGAGGAGATCAGTTTGACATGGAATTCAGCAGCTGTTGTTTCTTTAAAGAGAAAAGGCCTGCTGGATTTAAGTGTGTTTGAGTATATCTGGTTGACTGAACAGTTTCCTCAAGGAAGTATTCATTCAGTCAATGTCCTGAAGGGTTAAGAAAACAGAAACCCATAGTGTTACTGAGTTGTTGTTATGTATGTTGCCAAGGGAACTGTAGCTGGAATGTTTAAATGTGTTGTTTCTCCCCAAACCCACAGGAGTGGAGCTTGAGTGCCTTGGTGTGCCCTAATCCTCACAATTAGTTTCTGTGTGGTGGTGTGGGGGCTTATGTGGCTGATCAGACTAAATACTTGTAGTGACACTGGGTAACATTCCCACCATGCTGGACAGAGTGACTTTAGCATCATACTCATCACTTAGGGGAATTACAACCAGAAGCAGAGAAGAGGGTACATTAAAAGTTTCCCTTTTTCCTTCTCCCTGAACCCTGTGGATTTCTTCTATGCATATTATAGAAATTAATGATCTCCATGGAGATCTCCTTAAGACTTTGGTAAGAGAAATCATGACATTTATTGATCTTGACTCAGATCTTCAGTATTGGTATTGTTTTGTCCCACATGGCATTTAATTTGCTTCACTGGTGTAAAGCAGGAAGAACCATTGTTGCAAATGACCATTTCAATAGAAGAGGCAAAATTTAGCCTTGTTTCCATGTAAAGACCAGGCTCTTGCACTGCAACAGATAAGTCTGCAGATAGTCTAATCAAGCACTTCTTATTACCAAATAATTGCTTAGTAAAAAAATACCTAAATGTATCTGTGGAGGTTAGCTGTGCTATAGATATTTCAAGAACCTGGGAAAAACCCTTCCAAAGCCTTCCAGTGGGCCATCATTCCCAAATGTTTAGCCTATTCTACTACCATGGTTTTTTCATAGCTGGTTGGCAGAACTCAGTTGAATTAAAAGTGGCTGAGCAGCATGACATCCCTTGCTGAGTCAAACATTTTGCCAAGCACAAACTGACCCACACTTTGACTGATTTATGTATTTCTTCTGTGGTATACCAGAGGATTTGCATTTAGGGGAATGTTTTCACTTTTTGCTTGTACTCCCGCCTGTCACTCAACATAAGGTTTTTAATATGGTCCTCGATAATTCTGTCATAATATTCTTTGAACCAAGTGTTAGTTGCAGTAGATGTGGAAAACACAGATTACCCTCTCCTTGCAGCTGCCCCTCAAGTGCAAAAGCTCAATGCTTTCCCAAGGCACATTTTCTGAACACCTGATAATTCTTATTGCCTCCTAAGCAGGACCCACAACCTGAGGAGCAGACATCCTGAGACAGAGGAAGGTCTCCAGCTGCTCAGTGTTAGGGCAGATTACACACCTTTTATCCACAAAAGTCCTGTGTACACACCTTGTTGTGATGTTTCCTTTTTCTTTTCTCAGTACGAAACCATTGATTTACAGGCCAAGGGACCTTTCTTTCTGCATCCAGATAAAACAGTGAGCTTAGGCTTTGTTGTGTCTTGGGGTCCTCATCCTCCAGTTGTCCACACTGGGAGTCACCTGAACGGCAAAACATTGAGAAAACTGGTTCACAGTCAGGTCTTCTACCAGTTGATTTCAAAACTTCTTTCAAGATCTTACATTTATAAAAGTTAGGAAAGCAGACACAGTTATAGCAGAATCCTGGGGAGTCAATGCTTCCCTCAGTGCTCAGAGGCCAAGTGTCCTATTTCCACTAGGATCAGAATAAGAGGACAGTGCTAAGACTTGGGAATGCTGACACCACACGTTTCCCAGCTGGGATGAAATCTTGTAATTTAAAAAAAAGGACAAAGAAATAAAAGCCAAAGCTTGATCAGTGATTTCTGTGTCTCTTTAACTCCATGACTTTTGATATTGTGATGCTAAGAGAGACAACTCACAAGCATTAATTTTTTTGTTTATTTTATTATTTATTTTTATTTTCTGAAAGTCCTGTACAAGTTAGTTTGATCAGGCACTTCTGCACAGTTCTGAAAGTTTTATGTAGGGCAGCACTGAGGTGCATTGGCAGGAGCTGAATGTGGTTTGCCTACAATCTCATTGGCTCAGGTTTGTACTTCATCACCCAGATATACCTATGTTTTTATTTAAAATAGTCTCTTAGAAATCTCTTTAGGTATTCTCAGGTCTTGTAAACTGAATGCAAAACAGAAGCTATGAGATGAGCTGAGTTCAGTATGTAAAAGACAAAGAACCTATTAGAAACCCTATAAAAAGAAATGTAACTAAAGCCCTGCACTCCTCAGAAGAGTTAATCCTGCAATGGGTGCTAAACTCCAGAGCTCTAATGATGAGGCACTCCTTACCTCTCTTCTTTGCCATTTGCAACCACAAGGTGAGGATGAGCAAAAATCTGACTTTTTCCTTTTATTAGATGCAGGCAACTTTTGTTTTGGCAGTGCTTCTTTTTGTCATTCATAGAGTTTGTTTTTTCTTGATTTTTTTGGGCACTTTTTATTTCCTGTCAGAGTGTGGAGGAGAAAGCTGTTCTAGTCTGCAAGTTATGCACCCCTTACAGTGCCCCTTAGTTACATAGCACAAGGAAAAGAGAAACAGAATCCATGGCACCATGCAGAAATGCTGCACTATATAGTTTGCCCTGGTTAAACATTTCCAGAAAGGGAATAACACAACACTGTGGAGCTCCTGAATGTCTTTTGGCCCTTGTGCTGCAGAGGTGAAGGCATTTAGGGTTAAACTGAAATGGTGCTGGATTCTGGGCAAATTGTTTTTCAGATCTGAGCTGCACAGATCAGAATTATTTCTTTTTCATATTACCACAACACTATCTCCTTCATACCTGAAATAAGTGGCAACTGGAGCCTTGAAAAGCAATGTGCAACAGCTGTGTGAGAATTTAATTTGATATAGCCACATGCCCCCATCTTCAGCCACCTTTTTTGATCTTTCTTCAAACAACTTATAATCTCTACAAAATAATGCTGACAGTCTTGTAAGTAAAGATTTTTTTTTTTTTGGTAGTATGTAATTCTGCCATTTTTTGCCTTGTCTTCCTTCTCCACATGCAGGGAGATGTCAAACTGGAAAGGAAAGAATGGTTATTTACATTTTTCAAAGCCTGCAAGAGAGAAGAGTTGCATTTTTTGATTGAATTTGGGATGGTCTCACTTTCTCTTCAGCACTTATCTTGTAATTCTCTTTATCTTGCTCTAAAACTTTTTGGTGAGAGAATGTGAACACTGAATCTAATCAGCTCCTTAGAGCTGCTGAGGTTTTCTAAATTCTCCCTCAGTGCATTCATGGCTAGTGGTGCCTAATGACAGAATGGATCAAACCATTAAACATAAAAAGTGGCTTACATGAAATATGAATGTGCACCTTTATTTTGTGAATCTTGTGTCAGCTGCTTCTTCTTTGCTGCTAATATTTGAACCTTGCCCATTCCTACATTCCTATGCATATGCTTTAAAGATGCAAGATCAAACTCTTTATCTGTTTATGCTTATGGTTGTCCTTAAAGCATTTAGACTTTAAAGCTGCAAGGACTGCTCAAAGCTAGCTTTGTCTATCAGAGGCTGAGTCCATGCAAAATGCTGGATGGTAGAGCAGGTTCTGGTTGTGCTCAAAATCAACTGCAAGTGGGAGACAACAGGATTTTAACAATGTAAACAAGAAAAAAAGAGTCTATCCATTAAAAGGGTAGGTTGGAATTACATGGTAGCTGAGAACAAATTTCCACAGCAAATGTGCTATTAACAAACAGAAAAGCTCTTGCTGATTTGTAAATAATGCTATTGTAAACTCTGAATTAAGGTTTATCTGCTGTTCTACCTACTAATAATTTTATATTATGTTCAATTAATTAGTTATTGGAAAAACACTGAGGCCTGCAGTCGTACAACAAATCTAACCTTTCAGCACAGTCAGATGCTGGGGACGCTGGCACACATCTGCCCTTTCTGCCAACAGAACAACAACAACCCCAGCAGAACCATGGCCTTTGGTCAGCCCCTGCATTTTTACACTAGGATTTGTTCAGTTGATATAAAATGGTAACTCAGGCAGTCCAAGTCAACACTACGGGGGGCCTCTATAGGGGAAAACACAGCCCCTAAACAGGCTTCCAGAGTCCCCCCTCAGGTTCCAAGAATGCGGTTTTAACCATCCCTAAGACGAACCCCCCACCAACTTTTACAGAGGCCACCCTCTGCTCACAAAACCTAGTCCCTTCCCTGAAGGCATTCAGGATCCTTTGAAATGGAAAATTTATGCTGTACTGAAATAGTTCATACTATAATAAACAACTAGTGCCATCATTCTGCTGGTATTCAGAGCGCAATTAAACCTGAACCTCGCGTGAGGACTCCATTTGGGGTGGAAGGTGGTGCTGTGGGGAGGACAGGCTGCTCACCCCAAGAGTCTTTCCTACTGCAGCAGGTTTTACTACTTGTCCTCCCCACCCCTGCAGTGAACAGCCCCCTTCTCCCTCCCCACATTTACACGAGGCACGGGGGCTTGTGGGGGATTATATAACTTACAGGTCAATTTGTTGTTTGGGCAGAAGAATGTGGTATGTTGGCCGAAGCTGTTTGTTTGCTTAAGTTCTCAGAGTTCAATGAGGTCATTTTCTCATCTTCCCTGTGTTTTCTGTATTTTCCACAGACCTGCCAGCCTCAAACAACACCCTCTTTCTTCGCATTAGAAATGGAAACACGTCCTCTGCAGGAATTTTCCACTTAATAGCTCCTGCTTTCCTACCGGGGGCCTCAGTGCACCACCACTGCAATGCTGTATTTCTTTCCACTGCAGTTTGACATTTTGCAGCCAGAACAACGAACGGCATTCACTCCATCCTGATTTTTGAAAAACATATCTCTATAGGCCCACAGAACACACCCAGTGCAGCAATCACTAGGGGAAAATGGCAAGGGTATTTAAACATCATTACATGTCACTGAGACTATGACATTGTGTGGTAAAAATGCTCTTTTATACAGTTGCTTTCCCTTACTCCCCATTCCTCCCCCCTCCAACCCTTTATACATACACAGACACCAAACCTCTGCCCTGCTCTCCTACCACCAGCCACTCTCTTGTTCTACACTCCGTTGTAATTGTTTGTCTTTGTCAATTATTTCCTTTGCATAATATTTGCAAACTGTGTATCAGGTCCTGACACCCTGAGGAGCAGAAATGCACATTGCAGATAATCTGAGCAGTAAACAAGGAGCCTGCTTTAAAATGTGCCGAATGACCTGTCTGAAGGCAGCAATATTTGCAGATTGTTTACTGCTGAGATGCAGTGATGTCGCTGAAATGCAGCAGCTTGAAGATTGGAGCAAAATGGGATCTCAGACACTCGGTCAAGCACAACCTGTGATTTTTTATTTATTGTTTGTGTTCTGCTTTTTTTTAAAGTTAGAGCTGTATTATAAATTATTAAAAGCTATTTTCTAAAAATCCCTTTGCTGTGTGTATGAAAAAAAAAATAATTCCTTTACAAGGGAAGAAATGAATGGAAGTAAACATGTTTATTGCTAGAAGGAAGGTTTCCCCTGTCTGCGCAGTGGTAGAGTCTCAGACAGCAAGGTCCCAGTAGGTCAGACTGGCACATTGAATTGCGTATCAAATGAAACTGGTATTCTGGAAAAGGGGTGGAAAGAGGAAGAGGGGTGTTAGTGAGGAGGTTGCTCAGGCCAGGAGGGTGGGCCACTGAAAAACAACAAGTTAAAAAATAGGATTGATGATTTGCAGGACACCTAGGGTATTTCTTTCAGGGGGTATTACTTCCACTTTTAACCAGGAACAAGAGCTAGAAGAAAAAAAAGCGGCAGGAGCTGACAGCTTTGTGCTGATCAAAGGGACAGAGCATTGAACGCCTTCTTTTGCTAGCTATTTATTAGAGAGAGAGAAGGGCTCCTTTGCCATTCTACTTAGGAGAGAAGGGATTAAAGATCAAAAAAAAAAAAAAAAGAAAAGGAGGGGGACCGGCATGAGCTCTTTGTTCAGAAAATATTTCCCTCTATTTTTTTTTATTGTGTGCCATGCTGTCCACTACAAGACAAAAACACCATTTCTTCTTATAGCATTACTCCCTTTCTTTTCTCACTGACCAAAATTTCTAGTGATAAACAATTCCAGTAGGTTTGGTTTTTCTTTTTTTTTTTTAATGTAAAAGAAGGCCCCCTTTGGGAAACTTAGTTAACTGTCTTTTAGCCTGATTAACCTAGGAAATAAAGTTTAAATGCACTGCTGGGATTCTATTAGGATCATCAGTTCATACAGATAACAGCAAAAGGTGTTAAAATGCACTTCACTGGTGCAAGTGATCTCATGTTGTAAAAATGATTATCCCCAGCAGAACAGGGAAGGATTAAGGGGCCATGTCTACATCTGGGAAACTCCATAAGTGTTTTATTAGCATTAGTACATGTATTAATCACACAGACACACAAAAAAAGGCCCGTCAGGATGGTGGCAAATGGCAGAGTGCATTAAACCTACTCTTTTAAGTCAGTGGAATGTGAGCATCTTTATTCCTAGAATTGATA